TGTTCAAAACTAAAGCGCAAAGAATAAAATGGCTAAACTGTCAAGGCTTTGTGAACTGAATAGGACAAAATGAGTAATTTGGGATGTTGCATACGATTTCCTTAAATCCACATTTAATACAGGATTTCAAAAGTTTTCCAAGAAGAAAACTTCCCTTAAAAAGCTATTGAAATTCTTGTTAAGATTCAGAAAATTCATTTGAATTTCATTTTGATTGCGTTTTAAGTTCTGAGAAGAAACAGAAATGCTGAATACCTTTTCCAAGGTTATTTGTGCTCTGCTCCATACTTTTCTTTGTAAATATTCGCCCTCTCCAAACTTTCTCTTATTTGTTTTAATGTTGATCAATATTTCAATAGGTATTGAGCTGCCATTTAATGATTTAAATTCTGTATTCCTTATAGCGCCTACGAGTGCCCTCTGCGGTACATTTTCGTCTGCACGATTTCAAGTTCGATGATATACACTTCGAGGACGATGATACGCTGAAGGTAAGCCGTATATAGCCTCCTAGTCAACATCGATCAGCTTTACTAATTACTAATTACTCTATCTACATTATAGGCCTGTTTGCGCATGTTTTTGGATCTCGACTTTGTGGAGCGTTTTCATATCGACTACGAAGTGCTCTGCCGTTGGCTGTTGAGCGTCAAGAAGAACTATCGCAATGTAACCTATCACAATTGGCGGCACGCCTTCAATGTGGCTCAAATGATGTTTGCCATTTTGACAGTGAGTGTAAGAAATGATACTCAATCGTGTATATAGTTATATCTTTATCTATCTCAACTTAGACCACACAATGGTGGAAGATCTTTGGTGAAATTGAATGCCTCGCTTTGATTATTGGCTGCCTGTGTCACGATCTCGATCATCGGGGGACTAACAACTCCTTCCAGATTAAGTACGTATGGAATAATTAATCAAAATCGCTTCTAACTAACGCCCCTTTCAACCGTTACAGAGCCTCATCGCCCCTGGCGCAGCTTTATTCCACATCAACGATGGAGCATCATCACTTCGATCAGTGCTTGATGATCTTGAATAGTCCTGGCAATCAAATTCTAGCGAATCTATCCTCAGATGATTATTGTCGAGTAATACGCGTGCTGGAGGATGCAATTCTATCCACAGACCTAGCTGTCTACTTCAAGTAACTTCATTGAACATCTTTTCCCTATATATTTATTGACTTTTTAAGTTTCAATAGAAAACGTGGACCCTTCTTGGAGAGCGTTCAGCAGCCAGTGAGCTATTGGGTTGCCGAGGAGCCGCGCGCCTTGCTGCGTGCCATGAGCATGACTGTCTGTGATTTGTCGGCCATAACAAAGCCGTGGGAGATCGAGAAACGTGTCGCCGATTTGGTTAGCTCCGAGTTCTTCGAACAGGGCGACATGGAGAAGCAGGAGTTAAATATAACGCCCATTGTAAGTGGTTAAGAAGAAACGAAACAGAATCATGCCGATATAGGCTGAAGATGAAATATATTTTAATATATAATCCCTTTCGCAATCTTCAACAGGATATCATGAATCGCGAGAAGGAGGATGAGCTGCCCATGATGCAGGTGAACTTTATTGATTCAATATGCCTGCCCATCTATGAGGTAAACAGAAATACAAACACTGCATCGAGAGTTCTTATGAAAAATGTTTTCGCTTCATTCTCTAGGCCTTTGCCAAACTCTCAGATAAGCTGGAGCCACTCGTTGAGGGCGTGCGTGATAATCGCGGCCATTGGATTGATTTGGCCGAAGGTGTGAAAACGAAAACTAGTCAGGATCAACAGCAGCAGCAGCAGCAGCAGCAACAGGATGAGGAGCAAATTGTGATAGCGAATGGTGACATCAAGCAGACTGATGAGAAGATGGCAGATGCAGATGAAGATACAAATGCGGATGCGGATGCGGATGCAGCTCTGGCTGAAGCAAGCGTAAATGGGCTGAATGTGGCTAAAAGCAACGCAACTACTAACAACATTGCCATCGCTTCTCGTCCCAGCAGCAACCCGCCCAGTGATGTGGATGATGATATTGTTGATGATGTTCATGATGACGACAATGATGATGAAGATGATGCTGATGATGATGAGGATGCTGCCCTGACAAAAAATGGCTATGCACGCAGCAGCAGCAGCAGCGTTTGTCTATCCTCCAGCGGCTCCTCCACGGTCTCGAGTCGCCTCTCGACACCGCCGCCCACTGGAGAAGAGGATAGCACGCCCGTTTCGCCGTCCAAGACGTTGCAGGCCCAGCTGGTTGCCGAAAATCTGAATGCACTCAGCCAGGGCAAGGCGGCCACAGCGACGGCCAAGCAGCGGTGCAAGAGCTGCGATCAGACGCACGTCTGTCTGCGCAAGACGAGCTCGCTGAAGGGAGCCCTGGAGTTGAATGGCGGTGGTCAGAGCAGCAAAAAAGACATGGCGCTATGCAAGAGCACGCCGGCCATCAGTCATCAACACAATCATCAATCGCATCATCAGCACCACTCACACCATCATCATCATCATCAGCATCAGCATAACCACCATCATCAGCTCCATCAGAGTCATCAGCAACAGCTAATCATTGGCGGCGGAATCGGCAGCCTAATTGGCCTCGGCACGGACAGTGATAAAATACCAAAAATTGTGGGAAAACTTGGACATCTCGATGGACTCCCATACAGCAATGGCCACAGTCTGGCATACACTAACTTCAACCCACAACAGCATCAGCAACAGTTGCTGACGCGTCGACATTCGGAGACCCATAACCAAGCGCAAACCGCTTTGGCAGCGGATAAATAAATAATGAAAAGCCAATAACTTTTGACTGTCATTTGGAAAATGTTTATTGTACATAGGCCACATTTCTCATGTCCATTTTTGTAAATATGAAAAAAGAAAACTTGAATCGTAACCCATTTGATCAACAGTATATAAACATAATAATCATACAAGTAATAGAAAAAGAACACATACCATATGCATAGGCAAATATTGTGGCACAGCATAAAAACTAAATTAGCAAGATTCCTATAAACTATAAAATATACTTTATATACGGTATATATATATATATATATATTACTATAAATACGAGTATTTAAACTCATGCTTATGTATAATTGACACTCTATGCTGTGTGTTAAACTTCAATTTTAGTTTAGCTCAAAAAAATGCTAATCTATATATGTATATCTACATAAATATATCTGTAGAGAAAGGTATAAAACCTATAAAGCAAAGAAGTCAAATTCTCTAGACACTTAAGCACAAAATATACCAAAAAAAAAAAAAATGCAAAAAAAAAAAATACGAAAAAATATAGTAGGAGAAGCAAAGGCATATTAGTTAATAGCTGCTTGCAAGGGAGCAGCGAAAACACATGAAAAAGTATTGTATTTTGCATGCCTATTCGTCACATGCACTGCGGCAGTTAGTTGAATTATCTGTGGTTAGCACAAGTAGCACAACAGCTTAAACATGTTTAAAAATGATAATATTAATTAATACAAAAGAAAACCTAAAACATAAATCTACATACAAATACTAAGCGCTATGTATTTTTGTTTCTCTGTGCGCTCTATTCGAATTTAAATAATTGTAATTTAACTAAATATATGCGATAATAATATATATAATATACAAATACACCTATATATCTATATGTATGTATCTATGTCAGATCTGGCAAATGTTGAATAACTTTAAAGTTTTGTTCATTTCCGGTTTTGAAAGAGCGTTAAGCAAAGAGCACGTCTAACGGTTCGTGTCTAACGCACATTTAAATAACTTCACACATACATACATACATACATACGTATATGCATAGTAAACCCCTCTTTAGATTTAATCGTACTTTGTGAGTTTTGTTATTTATTGTCGGCATTATAGAGATCTTATCTAAACTACACACAAATTATATTTGCTGTAATGGAACCACGTTCAAAGAGCAAAACTAAATAAAGCAAACCAATTATTTAAACTATTAAAAAGTGTTCGTTCATCGCAAACAAGTGATCAAGCATGTCAATTGATATGGACGCCAGTGTAAGTTCTTGCTCTCAACTTCATGTAACGGCGCTTAATTATGCTCTGCTCTGCACACAGAAAAACACATGCAAAATATTTATTTTGATAATTGCATTTATGTGTGCACATTCCCATGGGAGAGGGAACGAGCGAACGCCAGATTAGCCTGCAGTGTGAGCGAGAGCACGCATTAGTAACGGCATAAGTATTTTGACAACACATGCTTTCTGCTTCTGTTCATTCTCGCTTGCTCAAGTAGCCGCGTCGCTTGCTGTCCGTTCTGTTCGCTTATTCTTTCGTGTTGCTTTCGCCGGCGATTCCCCAACCAGAATTCGTTTGCGAGCAACAACAACGCACTCGACCAATGCATGTGTGTACTGTAGCTGCCTTTACGTTCTGTTTGCCTGGTAATTCGTCTGTTTACATATTGCGATTTGCTACCTGCGCATCTCGGGCTCGCTACCCAAACAGTCTAGCGACGCGTCGCGTCGCTGTCCCGCTGCACCGTACATTATTTTTAACATGTCAGCTCGCTGCGGGCGCTGTTCGCCCGTTACTTTGACTGTATACATATTGTGATTATTTGCGCTGTCGCTGCACAGCCGTCGTGCGCGCAAATTATATTGTGAACTGAAATTGTGTGAGTGCACAGCTACTGCAAATGCTGGTCGCCTGTTAAAACAGCTGTTTACACTTTACCTTTTTAGTTCGAATTTAATTCGTAAATTTTTTGCAATTAAGCTGCTTCGCCCGCCAGTAGAATTAAATAACAAAAGATCGCATTTTGTTTTAATTAATTTTATTTATTTATTAGGTACATATAATTGACATTCATAGGGTTTAGGTAAAAAATACATTACATACATATACATATAAAAATGCTAATTAATTAGTTGTCGCTTAACTAACAGTAGAATCACGCATTTTGGTGGTGCCGAAACAAGAATTTTCAATTTGTTGGTTTCTGATAGTGTTCCTAGTTTTTGTACGAGATATTGCCGTCGTATATAGAACAGTTGTTTAGGGTGTATAGATTTGCATTGAAAAGTCTTCAGGTAAGCGAACAAAATAAGTAACTAATCATGTAAAGAACGTAAAAGTTATTTACAAAACGTGTACGAAAGCCTGCTTTCTCGTGTTGCCCCCTCCCTAGAGGGCAGCAATGAACGGCGTCAAGTCGGGGAACTTGAATAGGTTCTGATTGCGTGAACGTGTGACTCGCGACTGGGCGTGGCCTTGACGCTGCTGGGCAGTGAAGCCGCTCGCCTGTTGCCCGGTCAAGTAGATGCCGCACTGCGAATTGCACACCTCGTCCCGCAGAATGGCGTCTTTGGGCCACTGGCGAATCAGTTGGCCGCAGTCGGTGATGCGCAGCGACGCGCACTGAGGCTGTAATCGAACAGTGGGAGGGAGATATTTAGTATATATAGAGTGCTATATTTAGTATTTAGAACTTACGCCTTCGGCGGAGCAGACGCAGCTGGTGCAGGGTGATGGGAAGGCGGACTCGCCCACGCGCACGTTGCGGTTGCCAATTTGGCAGCCTTGAACATTCTCGCGCCAAGCATTCAAATCAATTTGTGGCATGGACTGGCAGGGCACACGAGGATTACTGTGGGCAAAACAGAGATTAGCATGGACTATCCGATGTGTGTTTGGAATTGGACTTACAGGAAATTGCTGGGCAAGTCAAAGGCGGCACGCTGCATATCGCCCTGAATCTCCAGGTTCTCACAGACAATCTTGGCGAGCGTTACTTTACGCAACTCAGCCAGCTGAGCCTCAGAGAACTTGACCTCGGGGTTTTGATTCTCGTACCAGAAGCGATCGCACTTACGCAGCTGCCTGAACTGAATGCCAATGATGCAGGCCAGCGTTGGGCCGACCAGGCCACCTTGGAGTGGACGTTCGGTCATAGCACCAGGGAATAGATCAATGTCATCCACACTAGCATAGATCTTTTGGAAACGATTAATGACTTCGGTGGGTATTTCGCGGCTCAGATCGTTCCACGTGGTGGCTCGCTTCAAGTTGCATAGAGCGCGATAGTTGTTGTACGAGGGAATGCCATGATCACGAGCTGCAAGAGATTAAAGCAAACTGTTAGAGGTGGCCAGTGTAGGATGAATGAGTCTTCAACTTACCACGCTGTATGTTCAGAGCAATCAGATCAATGCCGGAGAAGGGTATCTTGCGATCTTCAAACAGATGATTGGTCACCTCCCCTGTGATGAACTGATCAAGCGTTTCCATAGGTGTTGCCACCAGACCACGCAGAATCTCGTCAATAATGCCTGGCTGCAGCAAGACGTCCATGCGGAAGAAGCCATCACGCAGCAGCAGTGGTGGATCCACGGGTTGATGCTGTACGCTGAGCCGTGGAATATGCGGACGCAGCAGTGAGTGACCAATACGGAAGGCAGCGGAGGCAAACTCATTAAACACAATGGGACTGCAGGATGGGTTGTAGTCCTTGTAATAGCCCTGTGGCAGCAGTTTCAGGCCATACAGATTCACAGCGTTCCAACTGAGAATACGGGGCAGGAATTCATTGAAAACAGTATGCTGCACCTGGGCGCTGACAATGCGACGGGCATGATGGTACAGCTGCTCGCCATTCCAGTGGGGGTTCACACCGCGCAGACCCTCGACCAGACGATTGTGCTCGCGCAGGAAAGCAGTATGAATAGAGGTCAAGCCTGGCTGCTCAGAAGCGCGATCGTCGCCTCCAATGAAGCAGAGTCCGTTGCGGGACTTGCACTCGGGATGGGTGGCACTCATGGGCAACAGTTCCTTGCCACGGATGGGATGCACTGTGCTGTTCAGACGACCGGAGAAGCCACGCAGCTTATTGGCCAGACAGGCGTTCTCACCGTACACCATGGAAGCATCGAGGAAGTGAGTGTTCTGATTGATTTGATCACGAGGTCCAAGCGACTGCTGGCCGGGCAACGATCTCATCGAGGGGAAGCACAAACGATCACCGCTCGTGACATTCACTTCGGGGTAGAAGAAATCGCCAGCGGGCACTGGGAACGGATTGCACTCCGGATGGACGGTCTGGCGAGAGTTGCAAGAGCGGCAACTGGGAATGGATTCATGGAAACCCTTATGAATAGGTGTCAAAGTCAAATCGTGATCCACGAACTGCGCAAACTGCATCACCATCAGCGAGTAGCGAGTGTGCAGGTTCGAGATATCTGGATGAATGGTTGTAGATATGGTACGGGGATTGGGCAGTGGAGCTCCCGATACGCCTGTGATTCTAGGTGCCGAAATGCCATCCTCGTATTGAGCGGGCAGCAGACGGGAGAAGGTAGTCAATGACTTGCCCCAGTTGGGGTTACGCAAATTGTTGCAACGTCCCGAGAGCGTGCGGAATGGCGTATTGGCATCACACTGTTGCGTTGGCTCCGGACAATGGTCCAACGATGTTTGACTGCCACCAATCAGAGCGCTAATGTCCACAGTTTGTAGGGTATCAGTGAGTTCGTTGCGATTGAAGGCATTCTGGTTGGGATTGAAGATTTGACGCTTGCGGCGTGTAATGCTGTTCAGCGATTTGACGATCTCATTGGAGGCCAGTTCGAAGATGAGAGAGGAGTTGGCCAGGCTTAGGGCAGCCAGATTGGCCTTGCTAAAGGAGGCAGCGGTGCCGTCGGGTGAACGAGCGCTAATGCCGCCCTCTGCAAGGAAAATACAGTAGTGTGTGTTATTAGGTAATCAAATAATGGGAATTAGCGGGTTCTCCTTACGTGCACGCCACACTTCGTATTCGAAACGCTTGCGTTCCTCCAGTTCCTGCTTGGCGCGCTCGACGGCCGCCTCAATCAGTTCTGGACTTAGTTCATTGATGGCTTCCTTGGTGTCGGCCTCCACTTCAACGTGCTCCAAGTGAATCTCCTCCTCGGAATTTACTTTCCAGGGGCGCAAATCAAATTTGGGCAGCTGAGCACAATCCAAAACAGAGTTTCTAAGGAAGATTGAAGAGAGAGTTTGGTAAGACCACATGCTGAAGAAGTTGTAGCTGCACTTACAGATAGTTATCCTCGCGTATGAAAGCCCTCGATTGAGCTGTATTGACCTGATGAGAGCCGCAGAGCAGACCGGAGAGCGTAGTCTGACGAATGCTCTTTAGCTGCTCAAGAGTGAAAGATGAGGGTGGGATCTCGTTCTCGTACCAGAAGCGATCGGTTTGCTTCAGCAGCTCAAACTGCGTGGTCAACAGACAGGTAATAGTGGGTCCAAACAGAGCCCCCACAGCGGGATCCTCCAGCAGAGCGCCAACAAGCAAATCAATGTCTTCAGCGTTTCTATAGAGGAGTGAACAGACAGATTAGGCACTCGAGTTGCTGATTATTTTCGTAGGTAACTCACTGATAGATGTCACGCAAGTTGGTAACATGCTCCTCTGGAATGTTTGTGAGTTGTGCCAGATTATCGAAGGTTACATTGGCAGCCGAGTTATGGCCAAAGCGACGTGCGCAAATGTCCAGGGCTTGTATGTAGGGTGCAATGCCATGATCGCGGCCACGGTGCACGGCCAGGGCCAGCTCGGACCAGCCGTCATCGTTCGTTTGACTGGGCACCAAAGACTTCTGCAGCGCAGCAATCGAGAGTAATTCATGGGCCGAACTCTTCTGAGAGAGCATTTCTGGTGGATACATGCTCCAGAAGGCGGGCATGGCGCTAGTGGCAAACTCATTGTAGATGCCGGCGCGTATGGAGCTAGAATAGTTAGACGAATGCTTCTCTGCCGTCAGCCTTAGAGCCTCCTTGGCTGTGGTCTCCTGACCCAGCACCAATGGCAAGAATTCATTGTAGGTAATGTGCTGTATGGTGGCGGTTATGATGCGCCTCGCTTCCAAAAACACATCCTCCTCAGACCAATCGGAATTGATGTGCGCCAATTGTTCGCCAATGTTGTTGTGTTGCTGCAGCAAGGCACGATGCAGGGCACCCGTGGCACCAGACACTTGGCAATAGCGACAAGACTCAACCTTAACACCACCGCTGATGTATGTGCGCAACTGGTCGAATTCGTGGCGGGTGGAGCCATACAGACCGGAACCATCTATATAAGCTGAAGCAATGTTCATCTGTTCACGCACATCTGTAAAGGAGCCAAGAACACGATTTGTCACACTGGAAAGCTTGCCCTTAATTTAATCTACTTACGCTTCTGACACGCCTCTGCATCATAGCCGGGTGCGGAGCGCTTGTATTCCTTGCAGTCAGCACCGGAACGTACAAAGCACTGTTGCAGCTCGCTGGGATCCTTGATGACGGCGTCACGCTGACAGCACTTACCGCTGATGGGCAGCTGACCTACTTCGTACAGATCGTTGGCCAGCAGCTGACCCCAGGCGGGCAGCATGGCAGTGATGTGATCGTGCCGCAGCTCACTCTCCACATGGCGCTGCAGTTGCTCGATCACCAGCTCAGCGTCGGGCAGGGCGTGGGTGCCACGCGAGCTGCGTGGTTGGCTGACGCCATCGGCATAGTCCGGCTGCAGCAGACGCTGGAAGATATCGCCACGTGCACCCCACTTGCGGTGCGACACATTGTTGCACTCTGCCGTGGGCTGGCGATATTTACTCGGCGGGCAGACATCATAATCATCCGCCGCGCTGGCTTCACCTTGACCGCAAGGCTGCACAGAGCGAGCACGTTCCGAGCGTAGCGAGTTGACCGCGCTATTCTCAAGATCCTCCGGTATGCGAAGCGTAAAGCTGGGAGCGCATAGGCACCTATAAGAGAGGAACAAGTAGACAAAATTAGTTTACATGGTTTATGGTAGTTTAAATAGTAATGCACTTTTATGTAAACTTTTCTCCGATTTAAAAAGCTTTTTCTGCAATCGCGCCATTTTATTTTAAGGTGTGACCAAATGTGATTACATAAAATATCTGAACTAATCGATCATCGATAACATAGCTGTCAATAAGAAAAAGACTATTGGGGCTATGTTAATAACATTTAAGCGTATGTTAAGTTAACAGATATCACTGACCAGAGAACACATAGACTAGACATGTAGAACAAATTTTTCTACAGCTCGAAACTGTTAAGTTGAGCGACCGCTATACTTCGTATTTGCTCGGCTCGGTCGCTGGAGGTTCGAGCAATGAAAATACTGCATGACAAAAACAGTGCGCTGTGAGCGCTCAACCGAAATGGTCCCAATTCCGTATGAAGCACAGCTATGAGCCATTTTTTCTACTCTTTCTCTCTCTCAGTCCCTCTCTCTCGCTCTCTGTGGTCGCTGAAATCATC